ATAAGTAAGAAACAACATTAAATTAAATAATTATATATTATTGAATTATTTAATATACTAACCTGATTTTTTTTTTTTAGTAATTTAAATTAGGCCGTTTGAAATTAAAATTTAGTTTAGCGTATCCTCCACTTACAATATTGTGTTTCCCCACTATCATTGGCAGATATTAATCACCAATAGCATTTAGAGATTTTTGTATAAAGAGTATTACTAAATATAAACTTATTAATGCATAAAGTCATAAGGTCTTATTTTTAAGTGGAAGTCACTAAAGCGGTATTAATTTTTGATGCATTTAGAGTTACTTTATTGATAATTTATATATAAATAACATTTATATTATCAAGAATACAATTTATGCTATATATAGATTAATATTTTAAATTATAAATTCGCTTTAGCCGATCTCCAAAAGTGGAAAGACTTTACTAAATGCAGACTTATTGTTAAATGATCGTTTTAATAACGAAAATAATAAAACATAACTAATACAGCTTTTTATACCAGTCTACAAAATGATTTTTTCATTTGTTTCAGTATATCGAGAAAGCAAAAGTCTAAATAAAGTTCATGAAACTTTATTTGAGATTGATGAAAATTTTATATTTGAAGATTTACTTTTTCAAGCAGATAATGATTATGTTTCAGGAGAATTAGTTCATGTAGAAGTTCGAGTTAGAGGTGAAAAGACTTGGCATTTTGTTGCCTCAGGTGTGACTTGTAGTTTAAGAATATGTACAAAAGATGAGCAAAATATCTCTCATATCAAATTTACAATTATTGATGGGAAACAAAATATAGTTCATAATGTTGCTACAAAGACAAATGCTTTTGATCATTTAATGAATGCTGCAAAATTAAAAGCATTACCTAATCCTAAGACTGGAACTGATCAAAATGATAATTGTTATAATGATATTTTAATGCTATTACATAACCATAATTTGGGATGGGAAGTTGGGCAACATAATTCAATCGGAAGTAAATTTTTAAAAAAATTGCATATACTTATATATTATTTAGATGGTCATCATAACAAGCTAAAATCATGAGGTTTAATTATTCCAAATTTTTTCTTCAGCTTCCACCATATCAACAAAATTCTTTTTACAAAAATGGTTCTCATCACAAAATTCCAAATCTTAAAAAAAATGAATTAGAACAATATGCAGATAATGTTGAAGAAATGCTTTTAGAACCTTGGGCTGAAAACCTTCCTGGCTAAATTTTGTAACTGACACCTTTTCATTATGCTTAATTACACATAAATATTCAGAATATTTAGATATAGTTAATAAACATGTTCAAACAATTCACCATTTAGATTCTTCAGTACGTAATCCTGAAAATAATAGTGAATGTTAATTAATACTAGCATGCGATAATGTTTTGCAACAATATCAACTTATTGCAAATAGTATAAAAGAGTTTAGTTATTATGATTTTATTAATTTGGAAGAATATTTACCAAAAAACAAACAAATCGTTTTAAATATATTCAAAATTTTTCAATAGACTCAACTATTATTTTATATCGATATCATCATGGCAATAATCTTAAATCATTAAATTTTATATGGCGTGTTCCAAATGATTCTAAAATATGCAATAGCATACAAAATGCAAATACTATTATTAAAATTCAAAAACAAATTTCTCAATTTCTTACACGACAAATGCGAAAAGACTTTTCAGCAAAGGTATTATTATTAATTTAATAAATTAATTTAATATTATTTATATAGTATATTAAATTTATTTTTAATCTTTTTTAAAGTATTCTTTAGTATCTAAAATAACTCCAGCTATAATGCATTATATGTATCATGATATTTTAGGAGATGCAAGTGCTGCAACTAATAGTCGAACTTTAGAAACTAACAAATGTGTTAAATTAATGATGGATATTAGAGATCCAGAAATTATTATTGATTTTAGACGAAATAATGGCTTTAAAGGAACCAAATTTGATGAATTTTGGGCTGAATTAAAAAATTATTTTGAGGAAAATATGCCAGTAGTACATGAACGTCGTAGTACTAATATTTTATATTTGCCTTCATTTATTTCAGTTCGTGACCTTAGAGAATCAATAGTTGAGCATTTAGAAAATCGATATAATGAACATCCACTTAGTAATAAATGTTTAATTCCTTCAGATAGATGGATAGCATTTCAATTTTATCCTAAAAATTCTTGGTATAAATCAAGTGCACAATATACAGGAAGATTTCAAATTAAATATATGATACAAACACGACAATTATGAAAAAACTATATAGATGAACATTATTGTAAAGCAATTTTTAAATATATTCGAATATTTGCTACTAAATATAACCAACATACATGTTTAATTTTTGCAGATGATAAATATAAAATACCAATTGGCGAACATATTTCAGCAAGTACAAGTATACGAAATAGAAAAACAGCTGCACCAATAAATATGGAACTTTCAGCATCAGATCATAATTATACAAAGTTATCAATAACTCCTTCAGTATCTTTATTTGTAAAAATACCTAATAATTTAACAGATTCTTTTTACAATGGACAAGTTTATGTTACTTATAAAGATACTATATTTCAACCAAGTTCAACACTTCGACATGCAACTGAATTTTTTGATACGATTCAAAAACATTATAAATATGAATTTATTCCAGAAATTTTAATTTTATATACTAATGATGGACCTGATCATAGATGTAATCTTGGTTCTGTTCAAGTTTCTTTAATTTGTTTGTTTCTTCAAGGTGATTTTGATTTATTAGTTGCAGCACGTACTGCACCATATCACAGTTGGGCTAATCCTGCTAAAAGAATTATGTCTATTCTTAACCTTGGTTTTCAAGGCATTGCATTACAGCGTTCAAATATGCCTACCTCTGAAGATATATTTGAAAAGTTAAAAACTCTAGATGCAATACGAACTTATGCTAAAAAAAATTCAATTTTAAAAAATGAATTGCAAAATTCATTAACAGATATTCAAAATATTTTATTTGATAGAACATGGTGACTTAAATTAAATGATAACTATTTTGAAATTAATGAACCAGTTACAGATTATGAAATTGATGAATTTTTTAAGGTTTAAATTATTTTAATATTTATTTTTTAATTTTATAAAAAATTTAAACATTTATTTAATATAATATTTTTGTAGGCTATATCTATTATTGATAATGGATTAACAAAAAATATGACAACAGCAAATCAACTTAAAAAAAGACATACTTATCAAGAATTTATAAAAAATCATTGTCAAATTTGAAATTATATGTTTCAAGTAAGTAAAAAATAAATTATTTTTAAATTAAATATTATATCTAATTTATTAAAATATTCATTATTATTTTATAATAAGATTATGAAATGTAATAGTATTAACTGTAATATTTGTAAATGCCCATGACTATCTTATGAAAAATTTGAAAGTTTATTCTATATTCCAGATCCAGAACCTTCACTTACTGGTAAATTTATTCATTGTATTATGTACAGTATATAATTTTTTAACTATAGCTTAAATTAAATATAATATTACTTATTAGATAAAGATCATTATCAAGAATTTGATTTGTTATATGGTACTCAGACAACTGAAAACTATCGACCTTCAGCTATGAATAAATTACAATTTGAAGAATCAGATGACAAAAAAATCGGTCAATTTAACAATAACAAAATTCGAAAACTTATTGCTTGTGATCATTGTGGAAAATATCGATGTATTTATAATGATAATGCATTATCAGACAAAGAAAATAAAAACCTTCAAATTGCAATTGATTTATCTTCTTATACATGTAGGTCACCAATCATATCTGAAGACAATGAATTAAGCAGCTATATATGTGTAAATTAAATTTGACATATGATTCACCAATTGAACAAACATATTACTCTTGGTGCAATAAGAAATTTGATATTTGTTTTTGGTGTAGAGAATTAGAGGATCTTATTTATGCAACTGATGAAATTAAAAAAGCTTGGAAAACTATATATCCTTTATGTTTGAATTGTCAATCTAATGGAAAAACATGGCATAAAAGATCACCAATTAAATTTGTACCATTGAATGCTAATAATACAAATATTAGTTAAAGAAATGTATTAAATATAGAAAAATCAACTTTAAAAAAACTTTAACCTTTTTTATATATATTTAAAATATAGAAAAAAATATTTATTTGAATAAATAAATATAAATATTATGAAATATAACTAACCAATAAAATCATTGATTATTTTTATTAGTTGTTATTTTTATCCCCCAGTCCCCACTATAAAAAAAATTAAAAAATAATGTTAAACTAAACTTTAATTTCAAACGGCCTTATTTTAAAGATAATTCAAATATTATAAATGAACTTAAATCACTTTATAATAAACCTGAATTAATTCTTAATGAATCTGAATCAATTTTTAATGAATCTGAGTCAATTCAAACTGAATTGGAATCAAATTCAGAATTAGAAGAAATACTTGAAAATGATAATAATTTCATTGAATATTTTTCAGACTATTCAGGTAATATTAAAATATTAATATTTAAAGAGTTGCTATTTTCACCCCCCATTTTTGCTAATGCCACCCTCCAAAATACATAAAAGTGCTCTGGAAGAGATATTATTATTAAGTAAACCTCTTTTTTGGTATTAATTAAAGTTGTTCATTAGACCTTTCCGGTTCTAATGGTGGTAAAATTATTAAAATCAGACCGGTAGTTCTTTTTTAAAAGTAGATTAAAGATTATAAACTTTAGATATAAATATTGCAAGAATCACCAGTCCAAACTTAGTGATTTTACCATCATTAGAACCGGAAAGACCTAATAAACAACTTTAATTAATACCAAAAGGGAGGTTTACTTAATAATAATATCTCTTCTGGAGTACTTTTATGTATTTTGGGGGGTGGCATTAGCAAAAATGGGGGATAGAAATAGCAATTCTCAATATTTATTATTATTATTTTTTATATTTATTATTTAAATTATATAGAATCTGAATTTGAAGAACTAAATGATACAATGAAGAAGGTTTTTCGATTGCTTGAACTTAAAGCAAAAAAAGAAACCTTAACAAATCAGATATATCAAGAGATATTGGAAATTTTTAATTGTAAAGATATAACATTATATTTAGTGAAAAAATTTTTAAAAAACATAGTTAATTTAGAAGCAACATTTGTTGATATGTGTGTAGATTCATGTTGTGCATTTACTAGGCAATATGAGGAATTATTATATTGTCCTGTATGTAATAAATCATGCTATCTTAAACAAAAGACTCAAAAAAAAGCTACATATTTTCTCTTGAAGATCAGTTTAGAATCCAATTTCAAGGTCAAGAACATGTTAAAAAACTCTTATATAGATCTTTATATCAATCTAATGAAGGATTTTATAATGATATTTTTGATGGTATTTTATATAAAACTCTTTGTCAAGAGAAATTTTTTTCTAATTCATATGATATTTGTCTTATTGAATCAACTGATGGATATCAAATATTTTGACAAAAAGTAATGACTGTTAGGTATTTTTATATATAAATGCCAATTTACCTTCTAATGAATGAGTTAAAAAAGAAAATTTACTTATTGTTAGAATAATTCCTGAACCACATAGTCCAAAAAAATGGATACATTTCTTTGACTTTTAGTTGATAAGCTTAAAAGATTAGAATGTAAGTACTTATTATCTATTATTTTAATTTAATTAATAATTATTTATATAAATAATAAT